ACTAATGATATCCCCTTGCATCGATTCTACGCATTCAAGACACTTCGATTAAAGAATTTATTAAGATTAAGATTTATAGTAAATATAAAATTAACTATCCATAAAGATAAGAATAACTTCTATAAATTGATGAATTTTTTCATAAATTAATTTATGACTTTATGAATCTTAGTAAGGAATTTTGTATACTTTTATAATACTTACGTAATAACATGAAACACATTATATTATAAAAATTTTATAAAAAGTCCAGTTACGAATGACATTTTGTTAATTTTGCTTATTTTTATTTCATCAAATTTAATTTCATCTAAATAAACGTATAGGATAATAATTAATAAAGTTTACATAAAAATAATAAGTATCAATTTAAATTTACGCTTTAAATATTAAGCATTGTTTATTACAAAGAAATTTACAAATTTATAGATCAAATTAGGGTACCATTTGATGAGAAAACATTACGTTAATTAATCGTAAATAATGTTAAAAAAATATATTTTTAGATAAATTTGCACGATCAAGGATATACGAAATTCTACATTATTATATTTATAATATTTTTTACAATATTTAAACTATATAATAACATTTAAGAAAATAAGTATAAAAACTTTTTCAGACAAATATTTATCTTTGTTAACTTAATAAAATATTACGTTATTTTTAATTTTCAATACATATGATAAATATTTAGGATAAAATATTTTGAACTTATTATAAATATTCTATTTACTATTAAAAATTACTAATTGTTTACGAAAATATCATTCTAATTATGCAGTATATATAAAACAGGATATGTCTGCTTTAACATCATCATGATAAAAAAAAAAGAGTTTTAATTATAAATTTAATTAGAAAAGTTAATAATTTTTATTATTTCTTATAGTAAAGTATAAATATCATTAAGTATATAATAAAATTGATATAAAGAATTGTTCTTAAAATATAAATTTTATGTGAGTAATTTTTCTTAAAAAATACAGTTTAATACAGATTAAATTAATTTTTTTTTTATATGTGATATATATGATATATATGATATATTTATTGATCTAATCATTAATTTAATGATTAATATAATGTTTTTGTCTTATCCAAACGTAATAATTTTAATATATGCATACCGATTAGTAACAAGTAACCGATTAGTACATCTTTATATTGTATTTATATCATATATAATTTTAAAAGTTCGCGACATGTATCAACAAACGGTCAAATATACAACTCGATTAAAGAGTAAATAATATTTCAATGTGTAAATATACTACGAAATTATTGATTAAAAAATATTTTTTTCGCTCTCTTTTTGACCTTTGCTCTTTATTTTCAACTTTTTTTCAAAATACTTGTCATCATTCTATTTTTGTTACATTTTCGTTTATAGCAATAAGATTTGTAAATTAAAACAAATTTGTATTTTTTGTGTATATATCTATACTTGTGAATATAAGTATAATTGAGTGCAAAATATTTCAAGGTAAATGAGAAAAATCACTAAGAAATATTAAGTTGTAACGTATTGAGAACTAAAAATAAGCCTTTACAATTAATATTTAAAAATGAAATTATATTATTTTGATTTAAATTATCGGTATAAACTAATAGATTTAACCGTCTATTATATACATGTATTATTATTTAGGCAGAATTCTTAAAATAATTATAAAACTTTTAAATATAAATTTTATTAAAGAAATAATTAAGATTAAGTTCATTTGGTACTTCAAGTGTTAATATTAAATTCCATGACGTTTCTCCAAAATAAATATTTAAATATCAATAATTTTATTTGTCTTTATTAAATTTTCGCTTTTATCTCTAACTTACCGATACATTTATACATCAATAAACTAATTTCTCCCATACATCGATAACAACTAAATTGTAGTAATGTTAGGTTAATATTAATAACGTATTGGCATTACAGTGTAAAATATATAATAAAACTACAAAATATAAAAATATATAAATATATTTTTGTTATAAGATATAATAGAAACAATCTGTTCAAGATGAAAAAAGTTAAATAACGAATAAATGATTCTAGTCAATAGGAAATTTAATTACAAAAATTAATTAAATTTAACATGTGTCTTCGCTTATTTAATGATTGACAAAAAAAATAACTAGAGTAAACTAGTTTGAAAAAACTTAAAAATAATAGTTCGCCACGTTTTAACACATGTATTTTCATCTAGCTAGATTCAAAGATTGAAACTGTCGTAAACTTGATGACTTTAGTTACGAACATTTAGATACGAAGAAAAATACGTCTGCGAAGTATGCTCGAGAGCATTTTTGAAAAACTCAATTACAACGTTTGCATTCGAAATATTTTTTCTGATTTATCACAGAATAATTATTTCAATACAAATTTTAATTATTGAACGTACTATTAATTAAATAAATTTTATATGAAATTAAATATTAATTATTAATTATTAATATAATAAAGTAAATGAAGTAAATAATATTGAATGAATGATTAATGAAAAAATCAAAAGCCATTGGGATTGCAGCTGCCTAATGAAAAGAAAAGCTGCTTTTGCGTACCATACAACGGAGAATGAGACACCCTAGGTACTACGAACATAATGAAAACGTGGGGCACACGTGTTTTTAGCATTTTGTAGGATTATTCAAAGACCGAGTAGTCACACTTGTTATTGTCACTCTAAACAGAAATGTATTTTCAGTGAATGTAAAATCTAAAATACTCTTAATCCTTCGGAGCTTATAAACAGATTCTTGAAATAATTACTTGTAAAATTATATTATTGAACATTATTGTCTTTTTTCCAACGATGTTTGTTTTATTTAAGAAAATATAATTATGAATGTTATTAGTGAATTTATTTAAAAAAAAAGTAAATTATCGATATAATTGCTTGTAGATCTAAAACAAACCTGAATTAATTTAGAATTACATTGCTGGTAAAATACCATATTTTCTAGCTATAAACATAGAATTGAATAATTGATAATTGATTTATTTTCATATTCTATTATATATGCCTTAAAACAAATGGTAATAAATTTGTAACTCGTACTCTAAAATTATTTCAAAGCTTAATTCATTGAATCATGTCAATATGATTAATAATATCTTAACTTGGTTACTTCGTATACTATTTAATAAATGCATATTTTATAAAAACTATTCAATCAATTTTATTTATGAAACAAAGATTTCAGATTTTTAGATAATTTATCTAATATATATACATATTCTTTAAAAAAATAATTTATTTAAAATGTTTCATTTTGATAATAAAGAATAATAAATTATAATTATGATTATATTATTTATGCCTATATTATGACTATATTAAATTTTTACTCAAAATATTTATTTTATCATAATAATGTATTTTAATGAAAAAATGAATCATATTTCATGATTATTTAAATGAATTGTTTAAATGAATTATTTAAATGAATTCTCTATTAAAATAAACTGTGTAATTTGCAATTTTTATTGTAAAAATATATTTAATGACTGTATTATGTTTTTTCAATTTCTTTTAGGCTAGACTTTTGAACAGCAATTAATTTCTGAAATAAAATTCTAAACATTTGAATAATCCTATAAGCTCAAATGTGATATAACTATGCACAAAATTTAATTAAATAAACGTTTAGAAAAATTTTTATAAGAACTTAACTGTAATCACCAAGGTAATGACCATCTTTTTAATCTTTAGTAGTTTAATAGGAGTAATTTTAATAGGAGTAACTTTTTAATAGGAGTAAATCTTAATGTGTATTTTTATGTGTATAATTATATAAAATTATGTATTAAAATTAATCAAACGGTATTTCATTTTTTAAACGAAAATCGAATAAAGATCGGTTACCAAAATTGTTTGACATTTTTTCTAGATTAAATGATTAATACTAAATTACTAATTCAACATATTGTGACCTTTTCAAAATGTTGTAATCAGATAAAAATAATATTAGTCCGTAGTTAGAGTACTAAATGAGAATAACTAATTAATTATAAAATTATAAACTGCTTAAGTATAATTTTATAAAATTCTTGAGAATAATTTTGTATAATTTTATCGCTTTTTAAAATTGTATAAGAAATTTTGTTAATTTTTTGTGAATAAAAATGATTTTAAGCAACAAAATTTGATTTATTATAAATCTTAGTATTATTCTTATTATAAATGTATGCGAAGGTAAAAATAGTCTTTCAGTTTTATCATAAATTGAATAAAGCGTATCATCGCTTATTAATTTTAGCACATAACATAACATAGCATAATATAACATAACATATCATCATAAACTTGTGATAAAAAATTGTGAAAAAAAATTATATCATATTGATTTCAATAGTTTGATTACAAATAAATGACATTCAAATGCAATAGAATAAGTTATAACATTGTCCTAAATTTTCTTAGAAATATGATACTTGCATAGTGATTTATATAAGTAACATATATCAGATTATAGACATTCTGAAAATATAAGAATAAATAGCTGTTTGAACTTACTAACTTAATTAAAAAATGATCTGTCGAAAATCTTCATTTTGAAGTACACAAAAATATGTGAAGCACACTATTTATAGTTCCATTTCTATTTATTGAATGAGCGGATGTTAGGATTCAATCTATCTTAAAGAAAAGTAGAAAAGAAGAAAAAAGAAGAATAAAAAAATGGAAAACTATAGATCGATATCGATCAAAACTCGATATTGTCAATAATCACGTTAACACTTATCAACAGTTTTCCAAAGGTTTTGTGGCAAATTCATAAAATCATACTGAATTAAATCAAACATCAAAATCGAACAATACATGTGTCGATAAAGCAGATATCCTCTTTTGTATAATATTGCATCCATGAATAAGCTTCTTCATCATTACTTATCTATAATTTAAAAATGAACCCCTTCGTCGTCATCGCCATCATCATCGCCGTCATTACTTATCTATAATTTAAAAAAGTAGCGGGACTAGGATTTTAAAAGTCACCTCTTGGATCCTGTACTTGGTACGAATGGTCTTCCGTCGCCTAGTGGTCATTGTGATATCATCGTCGGTTTCTTCAATAATAGGATCGTCATAAGTGACCTCGACAGTCGGTTCATCATAAATAACCTCGACCGTCGGCCCATCGCCATCGTCGTCGACGTCACCTCCAACATCCCGGGTCGACGCGTCCTTACCACCGTCGTTATATGGTTCGTCCACAATAGGTGCGTCTTCGCAGATGCCATCGCCATCGCCATCGCTGAGTTTATCCGGCACCACTGCGTCTATCACATCCATAACGCGTTTAAGCCAATAACGTAACGTAACAACCTTCTACTTCGCGCGCCTATGTCCAGTTACTCCAGACAGTCACGAAAACCGCGCGAGCCGCCAAACAATATATGCGCACACTCGTACGCGGCAATTTGTAAACCTCCGTACACTTATCGTCCTGACACCGCTGTCAGAACGTCGCCCGGCCAACGCACTAACAAGTGGAAGAAGTAGACGGCGAAATAGCGGCGCGTCGAACCACGCGCACAGCAGCAGCTGAGCTTCCAGCTCGGACCAACTGACTCGCGGCACTAGCGAAGGCGCCCCGCAAGGCCACGCAATACGCCTCCGACAACGACGCGGCTTCTCTGTCTTTCTCGCTTCCTCTCTGGCACCAGGTGACTCGCCAGATTCTGTCAGTCGCGCGAGCAAAATCCAAAATCCGAACCCGCGCGCGCCTGCCACGCTCTTACGAAAATAGATCCCACGCCCCCCGCCCCCACCGTGTAACCGCCGAGACCGTCGTCGCCCCAATGACCCTCCCCACCTCGGTGGAATCGGCCAGTACGTCGTCGCACCTAAAACGACGATTTCTACTTTATATCATTCAAGTCCCTTGGCGGATCTTGATGTCCCGGCTTGTTCTTGCAACCTCCTATAATGTACTTCGCGTAAATTTAATAAACTGCCCGTGCCGTCGCGATGACGAGTTTGACTTTTTCGCTGTAAGATTCTTCCATACGGGTACTGAGCTCATGACGATCGCATGTCATTAATTCATTGATTGTTTCATTTAACTGGAGTTTTGATATTTCACATTTAATTCTAATCCACACGATCTAACGATTTTACCATTGATATTTTCGAACAAAATTAATAAAACCTTACAAATAATTTATCTGTTCGCATATGTTGTAATCAATGCATTTGAATTTTTAGATCAATCAATGTTTATCAAAAGTTTTATAATATATTGACTAAATTCATTGAAATAATTGAAAATAATAATAGTAATAATAATAATAATAATCATAATAATAATACATGAAAGACCATATAAAATGATACATGTTATTAGATAAATAAATTCATAGTACCTTGCATTAATTAATATCCCTTGAAACATCACATCGGATACTGTAATTATTATTATTTTTTTATAATATATAAAATCATGTCATATTTTTCATAGTTATATAATTTCCATAAAGAAACTTATAGAATTTGTATCACATATAACATAGAATACTATTTATTTTATATTTTCATAGCTTGTCAATAAGATGATAAGAACTACATTACTCAAGGTACATTTTGTCGAAAGTAGAATCTATTTTTTTATATATATTTTTCAATTCAGTGGAATAAAATTTAACGATTATAATCAAGATATACAATTTTCATTTTTATAATATAGAAATAAAAAAGTAATCTTATATTTAAAATCTTTAAAATCTTCTTTAGCAGTTTGACAATTTAAAACATAAAAAGAGTTTTTTTAAAAGCTATAAAATTTCATATTCTTAGTTATATTTTAGCGCTCAACTTTGTAAAAATCCATTATCCACTAAAAGCATACTTTTACAAAAAATATATCATTTTTTCTGACTTTTTATCTGTTAATTGATATAATTTTGTAGTGTAAAAAATCTTTAAAAAAGATTCTTTAAAATAAAATATGTTTTATAACAAAAAGTCTCTCTTAAATAATATTAGACACGTTTGCTCAATTTCACATACATTAATAAATTTAAAAGTATAATATTAAAAATTATTTTTGGCAGTTATTTGATAATTTTCTACATTATATAATTTAATGAAATTAATGTAATATCATGATAACACTGAAACAATACTCATTATTAGTAGAAGTTATATTTTATAAATTACCTAATATTTCACAAGCTATTTTTTCATTTAAACGTCTCACGTATTATAAATACCTTCTACCAATCTTCGAGATTAAGGTAAAATGTAAGATGTAAGACAAAAAAACTTTCGTTTTTGACATTGAAATTACTCGAAAATATTTAATTTATATCTTTTAGAATTATTATTGAATTTAATAAAATAATGCATAAATAAAAATTATATTCCAGTACACAATTAAGTATTGCTCAGTCATAATTTATACAACTTCTGATACCGCCTTCTGAGCTGAGAATAAAATAGATAATTGTTTATCTTCAAATATAAAATCGCATTGATGATTAATTTTCGAATTTCAAATGGTAGGAAATATTTCAAAAACTGATTTCAACATTCGTAAATGTATATGCTTTTTACAAAAAATCTATTTATATTTAAGTAATATTTTAAATTAAAATTTAGAGTCACTAAACAATGAAAATATTCACAGAAATACTACAATGACTTTCGGCGTGATATTTAAAAAAAATCAAATACAATAAAATATATTTTTAACAATTATACATTTATATTCGAACTTAAAATGTTAAGTTCGAGTGAAGTTCGAATGTAAAAATGTTAAGTTCGAGTGAAGTTCGAATGTAAAAATATATGTAGTATTTAAAGACAAACTACAAATTTGAAAATAATTATTTATTAATTCTAGTATAATGTATTTATTAATAGGAGTATAATTTGAATGTTATACTAATCTACAAAAATTGGATACTAATCTAATATTTTTATTCAATTTGAATGAATTTAATAAAAATTCTAAATATAACTCACAAAATATTTTACGATATTTTACGTTGTAAAGCGTTGTAAAAAATTGATTGCATATTTATACTTAATACCGGATATATTCTATAATATCAACAAGTAAGTTAACATGGGTTATAATTACGTTTTCTGATAATCGAATCTTATGATCCAGGATTATAATTCCTTCATTACCGGCTGTTCAAATTGTTTTTCAGTTCCCTGAATTATTCACCGAGGCATGGGCGAGGTGGATACGAAACCATATAATGTTGCTTTAATCCATAGGAAGTTTTAAGGTGTCTTATTTTCACATTTCCGATAAGCGGATCACACTCCGGACAAGCGGATAAACACATTTGACTTTCATTCATTATCGCTCTATCACACTTGTATTCCTTTGTTAAATTTAGCTATTAACGTAATACCATGTGCATGCCTGTACACATCGTATTATTGGAAACAGAATAAAAAAGTTCTAGAGTAATGAAATAATTATTTTAAAATTTTAATAAATGAATTTTTATTTTGTAAATACAATATCTATTTACTTTCTTTGAAATCCTTGAAATTAAATTCTAGACTCTATTACTTAGACTTAAAAAGATACAATTTATATTATAAATTATTATTTAATTCATTTCAATGTTGAACAACATATTGTATTTATAACATCGAACAAAAAAATCAAGTACTAAATTCGAATGTTAAAAGCTAAGAATTAGTACTTTTATTTTCTAGTATTTTATATATTTATTACATTTCATAGTATTCTGAATTCATTGTTTTTTATTTGCTATTTGTTTTTTTTAATGCTTCGTTATTCTCGTGAATAATACGTAGACGCATCTTTGTATTTTCGCAATAATTTTTCCACTTGCATGACAAATTCAATAATATGATACACCAATTTATAACTCTTATAGGCTCTTTTAAATCCATAGTTATTATAGGGTGTTTTCAAAATACAATTTATGCACCTACTAGCATTAACTAAAATATGAAGAAATTATATTTGAAAACCAATTATTAGTGTTGTATATGCATTAAATACATGTATCTATGAATATGGTTATATGTATGAAGTTGATCTAATACTTCCTTGATATCATTTTGTAATTAATTAATCCTATTAATGCAATAAAAAATAATATTTACTTTAGGCATAAAATTTCGATAATAATAAAGGTAAACATTTTACTACTAGAACATTAAATCATCAAGTTTTGGTTAACTTCATCAATATATGCATTAAATACATGTATCTATGAATATGGTTATATGTATGAAGTTGATCTAATACTTCCTTGATATCATTTTGTAATTAATTAATCCTATTAATGCAATAAAAAATAATATTTACTTTAGGCATAAAATTTCGATAATAATAAAGGTAAACATTTTACTACTAGAACATTAAATCATCAAGTTTTGGCATTTACTTAACAAAAATATATTCGATACGGTAGATAATAAATAAAAAATTTTTAAATGCATTATGCAAATAATTTCTATTTCGAATAAATCTAATGACAAAAGAAACAAAAATAAATATATAAAACTTATATTTCAAAATTATCTTAAATTATTTATAACGTATTGACAATACTTTACTAGAACGCTATTTATGTTTTCAATGTTTATATTTTTATTAAAATAATTTTTAAAAAATCCTATTTTAGTGCTCACTATTATTAATTTGATTAAATTTTTATCTAAATACAAAAATATGTCTTAATGTATATTTATAATTTATGATTTAACAATGATTGGAATTCTTTAATAATTTAAACAATAAAATTTATAAGATTGTAATATAAAAGGAGAGTATCTACTAAATATCAACAATTTTAACAATATAAATTATATGGTATAACAGATAAAATATCAAAGATAAACGAGATTATTGGTAACAATATTTATTTAAAGCTACATGCCGAACAATTTAAAATCTTACGTAAATGTTCACATTAAAATAGTTTTCAATTTGTATTAACATGTTTTTATCTATACTTCAATGTTTTCAACATATTTTAATAATGTAGCAAATGAATCTGTAAATATTTTATACAAATTTTATATTAATAAATGTAATATTTTGATAGTGACTTTGCTAGTAAATTTGATACTAATTTTGAAAATTCTCCCTTTTTTGTATTTTAATTTTATCTCTCTCGATGTCTGATTTAAGATATTTTTATCTATTTAGTGAATTCAAACTTAAATTTTTACTGAAATCGGACAGTTTTACATTTATGCATTTAATTGTGTATTAATTGTTAGTTTTATGTCTGTTTATTAATAGAAAAATACGATAAATTATGGTTTCATTATATAATTGATACTATCTAGTGAAAACCTTTAATTTTTATTAGTTTTGGAAACTAATAATATAGAAAACTTCTTGCAACACAATAATATAAATAGATACATTATTTTAAAAATTTTTATTTTAATTTGATTTATTAGTGTTTATAGTGATTTATAATAAAATATGTTGGTGAATAGTCGAATGAAATAATATTGAAATTTGTTTATGTATATTACGAATTTAATTGCGAGTACACATTTTATAGTATTAAAATTTTTAACTTGCAGTCGATAAACATTTTTAATAATATTTATAATCATTGTAAATATATTTTCTAATAAATACTTACTTTATTATTTAATAACAAATATATTTACGGTACAAATGTTACACAATACAGTAAAATATTTGATAAAATCTGGAAAGTTTTATATTTATTGACATAAATATTCTATACGTATACTCCTTATATTGCTACATGTAGCAATTGCAATATGTATTTGCAATAATAATAATTGATAATAAACTCGATTTTCAAACTTGTTTTTTATGTGACCAAAAATGTGAAAGAATTTTTATTAAATTAAAAAATTCCATTTATTTATAAAATAATAATAAACGAAATATTTATTACATTGATAACCGGTTCTTAAGGCGAAACTAATAATTCAAGCTAAAAAAAACATTAAGATAATTAAACAATATATAAATAAAAATAAAAATTTGTATAATATCTTGTTACAATTGACCGCGCCTTTAACGAAATTCATGTAATGATTCACATTCATCATCGAATGGAAATAATTTTCAATTAAATAAAATTATCAAGTTCTAAGTACCAAAATGTTGTTCCCGCTTCTTTTATAAATATTACAAGTATTCTATGAATATGGAAACTCTTATATATGGATTATGTCTATAAAATGCCTATTAATATAACTCTTGTATCCTTTTATACAGCACAAGCCAAGATATTGAATTTCTTTTGGTAATTGAAAAAGATGGACAAATCTTAATATGTCAATTTTTCATAAATGAAATATAAATAAAATAGTACAATGTAATATTTTAATGCATAATAAATAATAAAGTTATCATAATATCATTAGGTGCATCAAATATAAAATATATAAACTCCAAAAAGTTATACGACGACTAAAAAAATATTTACTTTTAAATTCTGAAAAAAAATTCCTTTTTACAAAAGCGAAAAAAAATACTAAATATATCTCTTTTAAAGCATAATAATAAACAAGTAAAACTCCTATAAAAGAGATTGAAATTATTTAATGTTTTATAAGAGTCTACAAAAACATATAAAGCTACTATTGCAAAGGGATTGTTGGCTTTGGTTTGTGAAATAAAGCAATTTAGCTTTTAACTATATACTTAATAGCTATTACCTTTTACCTTTTACCTTATACTAAATTCTGTACATTATTAAAAACTATCAATTAGGTATTATTTGGTGACCTATTATTTGGTTACCAAACTTATATATAGAATAGAGAATATTTTTAGATAAAATAGACGTTACATATAAAAATGTAATTTATATATAACAGCATCCCTTTTAAAGCCTTTCATACATAAAATATTTATACAAATGTCCCAATTTAGAATAAAACCTTCTTTTTACCACCTGTTTCTCAATTATTCCCTACTTTCTGTTAAACTGCAACAAATTTAGTCCATAAATAATATCTAACTAGTTGAAAAAATAGAATTGTAAGTTACATAAATACTGAAGTTGACAAATGATATTATTGAAAAAAGATGATGAAATTAAATTAAAATGCCTTAAAATAATTAAAAAATGTTATTCCTATACATCTCCTTATTAATTAATATTCTATATTAATTTTATAAGTAAACAAGTTCATCTAACTAGAATTATCTAATTGCAAGACTAGAACAAGTTTATTTTAAAATCTAATATAAGTATTTTAATATTGTCATTGTGAATATGCTAAATGTACTTACTATTTCAAAATTTACAAAATTTACAAAATAATTTACTTTTCTTTCAACTGTTAAATTTTATTTGATCTATCTTAAAGTAAATATTATATCAACCTGTCATAAAATCAACTAAAATAACATGCTTTACTAATATTTGATAAATTTCTATAGCATACTAGTGTGAATGGTCTGGTTAACACTCTCGGTTAATGATATTGCAAATTTATAATTTATTCCAGTGACAATGATGAGATGCCGACAATCTAGATACAAGAATACCAAAGAAGAAGACGAGGAAGACGATCAAAACAAGATTGAGCCTTCGTCACCTTCGGTGATGCCTCTTCCAAGACCACCCGATCATCTGCTGCCTGCAACGCCGCATCTTAAAAGATACACCAACGAACATCATAATAATATTTTAAGTTCGAGCACACCATTACCTCCAATGATGCCTTCGCTAACCTCGACATTACCGCAATGCAAGGTAAAGAAACGTTTTACAATAAAATAGATATTATGATATATGTATTACATATCTGATGAAAAATGATTGGAAGTAGGCTTTGAATGGTCAATTGTAGTAAAAGAATTAAATAAAAATATTTCAATTTTTAGATAATCCCTTTGAATGCCATGGAAAATATTGCTGAATCGGAGGTAGATATATCAGCGAGATATCCATATGGAGTAGCGGACGTTGATGAATTGAGCAGCTTCGAAACAACGGATATATCTTGTCCCTCTCAGACATCTCAGCAAAGAATGACGTCAAATCCTCTTCTAAGGAGAAATCAGTACTGGGTCTAGCACGAATGCCGTCCCCAGCTTCAACAAGCGGGGAGATATTCGTAGCGAATACAAAAAACTACACAAAGTTCAATGAGACAATGTAAGAATAAGTCGGTGAGATATCGACTTGAAGACGTAGAGATTAGCGAATAGCTACAATGGCTTGAATAAATCTTTATGAACAAGCTGCGAAGCAGACTCTCAAGTGTTAAAATACGAACTACGAAATTATTGTGCCTATTCGTGCTAAAATTATGTGTTAATGAAAATTTCCATAATGGGACTTTTCATCACAAAGTACTGTGTGCGTGAACTTGTCGATTGCAAAATTCTCGAGCGCTGTGTGATATAAAATAAATTCATCTCATTCGTATGATCTTCATGATTAGGAATCATCAGAATTTGTGGACATTAGTAAAATTATTAATGTTCGATATTTAGCCACTGATCTATAGAGTGCAATTAATATGAATTGATTAGCAAAGCAATCGAAGAACACTGATTCAAAATGCATAAATACGCTACATAATATAAATACATTTTTTAATTCGGAAAAAGAGTATAATGTGTTGGTTGAAGTTAATAATAATATAATCAATATAATTTGGTTATTTGATACTGATGGTTAGATTTATTTATCTGAAAAGGTTTGTTATGTAATATATAACGATAAAGTATACCAGTTCGTCAAGCACAAAAATAGTAAAAGACAATTAAATATTGCACAATAGTAGTTTTAATTTTACTATTCATATGGCTCTATAAATATGTATATTTATAAATATGCCTTCATTAATATAAATTATTATGGTTGTGCGTTATCTATGTATGGTTCCATTAAGATGAACAAGTCGAAATGTTTCTTATATACTTAAAATTGTAGATGATTTCAAAGTATTCTAACAGAATGCATAATTGTTAAAGTTACTTTTTATAATTAAAAATTGAATAAGTATCATATAGAATCGTATACAATGGTATGTTTTATATACATTTAGAAATGATATGTTGTATTCAATGTTAAATTTTCACGTTATCCATTTAGAAATTAAATAAAAAATATATAAATATAAATTTTGATTTTTAATAGATGAAAAATCATAATACAGCAAAGTATTAAACTAATTAAAAATATATGTTATGTTAAATATATCTAAATAAATTAATAAATGTATATAAAAACGTTGAACTGTATGTTCAAAAATATGATTAAATATAAAAAGAAGAAGTCCGATGTGTAACATTATAAAAAATATTTGATTTCTTCGTACGGCAAGAAATTACGATTTATATTTACATCTTAAAAATAATTTTAAATTCTTCACAAATCTATTTCAACCAGGAAATAGTATTGATTATAATATGCAATATCTTGAATTAATGTTGAAGACGGTACATTACAAGCATTCAAAAAATATTCCTCGCCTTAAATGTTTATTACACAAATTTTTAATTTATTATATGATTTCGTGAAATCTAATGTCAACAAAAGATAAATTGATTAAAATTTTTTTTGAATATTATTACTCTACTTTGTACATTATATTCTATTACTCTATATATATTACGTAATATTGTTTTAAATTAATTTACTAAATACGAATCTTCATTTAATTTTATCACTGTGACATATTACTTTGACATTTCTTATTACAAAAAATGCATTGACTGCTGGAATTATAATGACTCTTCATACTTAAATGCAATGCAATGTTTCTCTATAAATATCGAATTATATTATCACTCATATATCAAAAAGCAAGTTTTAAAATATTTGTAAAATTGAATATTACCTAAGAATAAAGAAAAATGTATTATTCTATACAATCTGTATGAATTCTATGAAAGAACTGAGTGTTGCTTAGATAATGAAACCACAATAAACAATATAGACAAGGAAAAGTACGTCACCCATTGGCTAATACAAAATTAAAGAGACAGGAAAGTTAGGTGCAAAAGTGTTATTGCGAAATTTCTATATTAAACATAAATTAAGCGATTGTGAAACAGGAAACAAAGGAAATGTTATACCCTTTACAATCGAATAATATTTTTTATTTTCTAGATACTGGTATAAAAACTTTCAGCTTTTTCAAAAATTCATAAAACTCTTTGCTATATTATTGCATTTTATTTCCCGATGACGTGGTTCTTGCATTAAGTATTCATTTTTAATAAGAGTTAGATGGCATATCAAATATGTCTATATGCACCCTGTTTCAATAAGCAAATTAACGTAGTTTTCAAGTTACAGGAAATCGGGTTTTGAATTGATGTTGTCTACTACAGTTTTCATTTGCACAACTCAGCTACGTATAAATCCAGAAATTTCTAACTTGATATGAATTAGTATTAAAATATTGCAACTGAAAGTAAGATATAGCAACTCTGGACTATTAATATATTTAATAGTAAGTTTTGTAACAAATATATAGATAAAAAATTATTATATACCAATTACATTATACAATGAAAAATTAATGTAAAAAAATTATTACATACTAATTTAGTTAATATTGAATTTATTTTCAGTTATTTAAGAATTAATATAAGTATAATAGATAAATATTTTACCCCTTTAACATTTATTTTGGCAACATTTTTATGTTAATTTGAATTAATTTTTTTATTATTACTATCTAAATTACTACCATCAAAAGAAAAAAAGTATTACAAGAGAAAAAAATACTATTTTTATCCAGTTACTTTCTTTATCCAACATAGAGTGATATAAAACTATTTTTTACATTTATTTAATCCGCGTTTCAAAATAGAATTATTATTATTGTAATATATAGTAATAAATTAAATTAAATAATTTTTATTTTGAATATATAATACAATATCTAGGATATATTCGTATTTTTAAAGGTTTCTTCTTTTATTGTATTATTTTTTTAATAAAATGAGTAATAAAGCAGAAAATAAATTATGAATATCCATTTATAGCTAATAATAAATATATTAGTTATATATAATATATCAATAATAAATTTTTCTTTTAATAAATACTTTTATCTTATAGGATCTAATATTTTTATAACAACGGAATCAAAGGCCAACTAAAAATATATATTATTAAAATATTCAAGCAGTAATATTGATTAATAAATAATGTTCCAAAATAAAATATGGACTTATGAAGAATTATCCAGACCTTATATCAAGTGTTTCATTGTATTAGCTTTATTGCCTACGAAGAAAAAACTATTCTATTTTATTACGACTAAATTTCTCACTTTTTTTTGGCATACTAATGCTACTATCCACAACATAACGGTTTTATTATATGGGTTTAAAATGTTAATACAAAAGGTAAAATTATCAATAACCATTTACAGCAACTAATTTAATAAATTATTTTACTAGAAAAATGTATTAAAAACAAAAAAAAAATCGTTAATTAATCGCCGATATTTCATTAATAGAAACTCTTCTGTCCATTCGGGTAAACTAATTAAAAGTTATCTAAAAATTATTTTTTAGACATAAATCTTCATTTTATTAAATATATATTTCTAAAAACTTTCAAATTTGTTATCAATTATATTATATATTTATATTTTATTAATTCTAGTAAATAATTGTAAAATTTGTAATATTAATTATGTTTTGCAATACATTGTTGATGTGACGATGACAATTATTTTTAAGAGGTTCGAGATATCTTATATTAGCGAATTACTCATCGGTGGTAGTGCGACTATTCGCTACCTTTTATTATACTTCAAACAATCTGAATTTATTAAGCTAATAGATAAGAGTAAAGAACTTTGGTCACATCTACTACCATCAGAATCTATAATTTTGAGAAGCTTCGAAAGGAAAATTATGTACATTTGTTTAGTCCTAGTCGTTTTGGTGTATATACTTTTCACAATGTTTGTTTTAAGCGCTGCATTTATGAACAAACCAAAAATATATGATAATGAAACAATATTAAAGGAATTGCCATTCAAGTTAGTATCTGATATATATTATCTGATATATATATATACCAAATACAAATATATCATCCTCAAATAAATATAACATACGAATGAATACAAACAAATAATTAAATATACAAATACAAGACTTTACTCAAATATTTAATTATTTTATTATTCTTATGTACGGTATTACAATGATATTATACATTCGAGACAATAAAATAACGAGACTTTCAATAGAATCGCCTGCGCGCGCGCATAAATGTGCACACAAACGCAATGCGATTTATGCACATATTAACACACGCATTTATTTATGAGAAAAACGGGGTTACAAACTGCCAGTATTGAAATGTGCCAGTGCTGGTCCACTTGGCAAGTTATTCAACTTTTCTTCTTAAAATACTTCATAATTAAATGAAAAATGAAAAATATTGGATTGAATAGAAGAAATTGATTTTCAAATTTTTAGTTATATCATTGATTTAGTTACTAATAATATAATAATGGTATCTATAACTTTTATGAATGATTAGTGACTTCTGACTAAGTTTAATTAACACAGACACTTTTTTTAACAGTTTAAAATCGCTAAAATATATTTTATTATTTAGTAGCTACTAAAAAACTAAGTTATTATGAAATTAAATATTTAGATTATTTAAGCAAATTAACTAATCGCCATTCTATTACTATATTGTTTCATGAAATTGATACGAATATAATACCACAATAAACAAAAATTTAGTGCAGTAGTATCTATTATTTAGTATATAACTATACTTATATATATACGTATATAACTATAAATAGTATCTTTAGTTAAATTATTAATTTTATTTCTAACTAAAATCTGAAGGATTGAAATAATTTCAAATACAGAACTTATGGGGACGTTCCAGTAGGGCCTCTGTATGTTATACTATTCATATTGCAAGTAATCGTTGAATTTAATATAACAACGATAACTATAGGAATGGAACCAATTGCATTCTTTTTAATCTTAACAGCATGTGGTTATTTAAGATCTCTTCAAACTAGATTAATTTTGATGTCAGAACGTCAAAATGAGATAAATATGAATGGTAAAGAAAATCTGTATACAATACAATTAATATATCATGAGATAGTTAAATGCGCAAAGTTTCATCAAAGTATAATGGTGTAAGTAATTAAATTGAATATGTAAATTTAACTAGATGATAAAAACACGTGATAATAAATCTAGGTATTGTGAGGATCTGGAACGTTTTATGAGAAGTATATATTTTGTTTGCGTAGCAACTAATATTTACAATATATCTTTTGTTGGTATATCATTACTACAGGTAATTCAAATAACTTTAACCCATTTCAGTATGTACAGAATATTTTAAATGTCTATTTTGAATAGGAAACTGATGAACAAACGGGCAAATGGATTATATTTCTTTTATGGAACATTATTCAATTTTATTCATATCAATGGAGTCCTGAATATCTTTTAAAGGAAGTTAGTATCTAGTACTTCAGATATTCAATTGTATTATTATTTTCATTATAATATTTAACGTTTTGATAAAAGAGTGAAGCTGTAGTATATGCAGCATATCTTATTCGTTTAAAACTGATTGGTCAACACCCAAAAACTGACAAAATTCTTCATTTCCTAATAATGAGAGCACAAAAACCAATTCAATTAACTGCTGGTGGATACTTAAAACTTTCCATGGAAACCTTTGCCAACGTATATAAATTAAATACACACATATATATATATGTATCAATGCTTAAGAAAATTTTTAGATTTTTAAAAATGAATTTTTTTTTAGATGATTAAAAGTGCCATTTCAGTGTTTACTCTTCTTCGTACATCAATCATGTAATAGATTACATGTATAAATTTTTATAGCAATTCAAAATAATACACAAAATAGATATATAAATCAATCACATATAAATCATATAAAAATCAATCACATGTAAATCATAAAAATCAATGATACATAAATCATATAAAAACCAATAATATATAAAAATATACTTATCAATTGAAATGATTTAATTAAAAATGTTTGTTACAAAGATAATTACATCGTGCTTCACGTTGATGTTTAGGTTGATGAATTAGTTTGAAGAACCAAATTTTTATAAAACATAAAAATAGAGCGAAGTACAAGACATTTTCGAAAAGAAAGGAAGAGAATCACTATTCTAGACGGTACTTTAAAAATTGAAATTCAGTAATATAATTATAAAATAAAACTATAGAGAAGAAACAATGTATGCTGGTATATCATGGTCAAGATATATTTTATTTTCTGTTGTATCATTATTTACTACTTTCACAGGAGCCCAGTGTGTTCATGCATACTATAAACCATTAGATGATCTTGAAGAATTAATTCAGCAAGAACTTGAAAGAAGAAAAATGTCTAATGAAATAAACAATTCGTAAAGTTAGTGAAGGTTATGTAACAATAGAAACCAACTGTGAAATAAATCAATTAAATCCTTAAATAAATTATCAATTTGAACAAACAATTTTGGATTAATTTTTTATTTAATTCCTCAAGTTTGTATATTTAATACATATGTATACAATTTTTATAAATTTTTCAAATACAATTTTGTAATACGTAGTTAGTTTGAAAATCATTGAATATGCAATAATATTTAATTAACAATAAATACTATTTTAGCAAATTCAAATTTATGTATAAAGTTTCTTTAAATATATGAAATTAAAAGAAATTTTTATAGATTCAGAATGTTTGTACTTATATCAATACATATAAGATAATATAATTTTAAATATAATATAATTAATGAAAATTGATGTCGTGCTCACTATATTTTAGATTAATCTCAAAGTCAATGTTGGCCTATTTTTAACTTACTATTAAATTCTTAAAAATAGTAAAGTAATAGCAATTAAAAATATTTTAATTACTTTCATAGCTGCTAAATTGCAGAAATTTTGTAATTGATATTAATAGTTTCATGATTTTTTATTTATTATTATTTTAAAGTGTTAAATAATAATAATATTACAGAATGAAATATTTAAAATACAATTATAAAAAATGAATATATTATTGTTATGTATGTTATGCTAAAGTCATTAAATAAATCATTATAATTTGAAAATGTAATCATTAACGTTCACATTCTGTTGTCATCTAATTGTTAACATACTTTTTGTTCTTAAATTATTTTCGTACACTTTAGATGTTTCACAGTCGCGTGATATATACTCTGATATTCATCAGAAAAGTCGCGGAGCTATCGATTGAAGCGTTAACTACGTTATCATCGACAAGCCATTAACAGAACAAGAACTACAAAATTATTATATGTGTCCAAAATTTGTATTTCTCACATTATATCTGGAAAAGCTATGGACAATTCAATGGCTATTTAATTTTTGAGTTATAAAGTTCTTATAGTGTTGGGTAATTTTCAAAGTAATAAGAAATAAAAGCAAAATATATATTTTTAGTCTAGAAAAATAATAATACAATAATTGCAGTTTAAAATAAAATAAAAAAAATGATTTTTTTCATATATAACTATGAAGTTAAATGTTTAATGAAATCAATAAATAAATATTAGATTATATTAATTAGTATTAGTCAACTTACGATTAGTTCAAATCGAATGTTTTTAGCATATTATATCGTATACTATCAAAGAAGTAATATTTTATCTAAGGAAAATATGATTAGAATAGATAAGTAGAAAATAATAAATTAAATTTTAATAGCGTTTACGAGTATTACTATATTGAGAAAACAAGCTCTTTGCTTCCAAATCAATTGTTTATTTTGTGAGCAATCTAATTTCAAAGGGATTAATTAATAATTTACTTACTTCCAATATAATGAATTCGAATAATCTATAAATTTTCTTCATTCAAATGTTATTCAATTCATTCATTCATTCATGTTATTCAAAGTGGTACGTAAAGTATATTCTGTATTAATCTGAACACCACTGAAAATATAATATTACGAATGTTTTAAAATTAATGGAATATATTGAATAATATTCATAAGAATACATTTTTTACAATAATTCGCTTTGTGCCTACATCGAATTTACAAGCATACTTCTATTATTTTTTTTAAAGAATCGTCTTCCCGAGTAATTAGCCTTCTGAAATACCTTCCCCGACACTGCCTCCACTTTGTGTAAGATATTGGTTTTTACGATACCTTGTACATGCCTCATTCTGTCAGTAAGTTTAATTTTTAATGATTAACGGATTAGCTTTAGCACGATAATATTTTAATAATTAAGTTTTATATTTAGTATTCCAAAGAACATTCAGTAGTATTTTAAATCACTATATCCAATATATATATATATATATATATATATATATATATTAATTATTCAGTTTATAAAATCTGAATTACATATAAATTCGAATATGCGAAAATGCACAGTCAAATCGATAATTTGTACAAAAATTTTTACAGTTTTTTTTTTTTGAAATATTGTAAAACATTAATTATATTAATATAGAACTAAATTTCTTTTAAATATTTTTTGAAAATGAATATAAAATCAGGGATTTTATTAGTAAGAGTCATATTTATTTATGCATCGATTGAGAGTTAAGATGCTAATAATAAAGGCAATAATAAAAATTACATACGAGTCAGAAAAAATTAAAACCAAACGTATTATTATCAAAATTTCATCTGCTTTAATATATATGACTTTTTATAGTATTTTCATTATTATTGTCTTTGATCCATTGATTTGGTATATTTGGTAATTGAGCCTTCCATATATGTAATAACAAAATGTATATTGCAGTTTAATTTCATTTAAAGACTAGTGTAATCATACTAGATCATAATTTTACTTGAATGACTGGAAGTTTACAAAAAATATTTAATAATATATTCCATAATAAGAAATAATATATTACTTTTATTTTCCTCGATTCAAATATAACCATTAATTTTTAACTGAATGTACTTGTAAACTGACGGTAATATCAAAATTGACATACATTAATTCAACATTTAAAAATGTCAGAACAAAATTAAACTAAATATAATAGTAAACTAAAAGAATGTAAAACTAATAGTAAGTAAAGTAACTAAATGTAAATAATAATAGTGGATATAAATGAATTTATAATGTAATATGTATATATACATATTTCGCTATAATATTGTGGCAAAGAAACTCAATTAAATTTATTATTATGCTTTAAGATAAAAATAAATATAAAAATATCTCATTGAACAATTAGGTATTACAACAAATTTTCAAATGCTCTTTATATAGGTTACTCTAGTTCATTCTAGTTAGACATTTTTTAGTATTTTTATAAGGATTGGATCAATCAAATTGAAAATTAATTAATTTTATTAAAATAAGATTGTTACATAATATACCTTTTAAATACAGAAAAATTAATTTAGATAATTGAATCTTTATGAATAAATATAAAATTATTCATTGTATTGTATCAAGAATACGGTCAAGAATAATACAGTTCTTATTAAAAACTCAAAATTTCTAATTTTTCATTATCACTCAAATACAATGTAATCTAAACTTATCAAACAGTTTTTTCATGCATTTTTCTTTTTGATTTAGTCACTTATAATGCAAAAAATTCTGTTTTGTACATTATTCTGAATTAATGCATTATTTCTATAGAAGTGATTCTTCACTTTAATGATAAGCAAAGGATTTTAATAATAGAAACTTCAAAATTAGCTAAATTCTTATCATTTTATGATCATGTTAAGTTATATCATTTATCGTTGAAGCATCTGTTTTTTAATTTCGAACACAATGTTCTAATCAATAATTTTAATATTATATTATAACAGTATAGTTTATTAATATTTTATACATCCATTAATATAGTAAGGAACGTTATTTAAAGTCATATATAATATCTAATCTCTTAAACATAAAACTACAATAAAGTGTAAATTAAATATTTGAATAGAATTAATAATGATCTGATTATTGCTTCTCATAAAAATATATTTGAACTTTTCATGTCACTTGATATATTGAACATCGATTGTTTTGTTTCCTGAAGTTTGAAATAAAAAATTACTGCATTGCAATGACTTGTAAATTTGAAGCTATCCAAGATGTGACAATTTACAATTACTTTTTTATTGATTAGAACTATTTAAAGTAAAAAATGAGAATAGGAATAAGAGAGAATTAATATAAAAAAGACATAGTAGGGAAGAAAGAAAATAATTAGAAAAAATTTACACGTCGTTCATTTACTACATTAAAAGATATCTTTTATATCTTGCATTGAATATACAAACTTGAAGAATTAAATAAAAAATTATTACATAATTGTTTGTTCAAATTGATAATTTATTTAAGGATTTAATTGATTTATTTCACAGTTGGTTTCTATTGTTACATAACCTTCACTAACTTTACGAATTGTTTATTTCATTAGACATTTTTCTTCTTTCAAGTTCTTGCTGAATTAATTCTTCAAGATCATCTAATGGTTTATAGTATGCATGAACACACTGGGCTCCTGTGAAAGTAGTAAATAATGATACAACAGAAAATAAAATATATCTTGACCATGATATACCAGCATACATTGTTTCTTCTCTATAGTTTTATTTTATAATTATATTACTGAATTTCAATTTTTAAAGTACCGTCTTGAATAGTAATTCCCTTTCTTTCTTGTCGACAATGTCTCGAACTTTACTCTTTTTGTATGTTTTATAAAAATTTGTTTCTCCTGATTGCCAATGAATCATAACAAATTCTAAAGCAGCTCCACTTGCAAAAAATATCGGGAGAAAACGGTATTCCCCGAAATACTTCTTACCAGGCCAAGCTTTTATAAATCTTCTTAAAATCTTGTTAAGAATAAACATTTACGATTTAGAAATATGCACACTGCTTATTATAAGACCATTGATGGATTATGTAAAATATATGAACGAATATCATAGGACATGACACGTAAAGTGACTGCGCACATAGTGATTGCTAACTGTTCGATTTCCTTCGTTTGAGTAGACATAATTGACACATGTTTTACATTATTCATTTTTCTTATTTGAGTATAAAATATAACATTCTTATGAACGTCTTATGGTGTCACAAAACTCAAATTTGCGTATAATTATAATTAAATGAAATTAATTAATATGTTGAACTTATTTATTTGAATATGTTAAATATTGGCATATATGAAAATTTTTTTAAATATAGGCGGAATATCATTAATTCAAATTGCTCTTGGACATAAAGAAATTATAATCTATTATAATTAAATTAAATTATACCCATTTCATATGTATTGTAAGGTATTTGATTAAAACTACTAGTCGTGAAAATAATAAGATAATAAAATGCTCTAACAATATAAAATGTTAAAAATCATATAATACAATTTATTTATTAAAATGATCCTTTTTTATTCAAAATAAATTATACTGCAATAAAAGTCTTTTTTATTGTATTCTAATTAATTTAAAATACAAATCCTACAATTATATTAAAATAAAGAAATTCTTATAATTAAAATTTGTATGATTTATGGATGATGATAGTCATTTTGTATTATATTCTTATATAACCTAATGGCTTGTTTTAGTATCAACCATAGAGGATAGCCATTTTTATACTTACCTTTCTACCTTCCATACTCATAAGTTTTCTTAAAGTTTCATAATATTTTGCAATTTAATAATTGTAACTGAAACTATCTATGTAGCACGGATTACAGAATATTCTAATAGTTACATAAATCCTTATCCACTTTTAATATTTAAGTTTTTCAGCACATGGGTCTTTATCTTGGCATATCATGAAGAAAATAGAAATGAAATATCTGTTCTAATTAAATTTAATTTTTATAATTTTTATTAAACTATTATATTTGATATATTTTTTATATCTTACTGTAGATCAAAAAACAAAATTTCAAACCATTTGAACCAAAGCCTATAGAAATGTTTTGTATATTACTGGTTAATCTGATTATCTTTTTTACAGAAATTTGTGAGAAAAACATAAAAATAGAAATATAAAATATTAATTTATATTGAATTACAAGATATATGCTATTGTAAACAAAATTTATGTTACCCTTTTTTTAAATGGCTCTACAATAGGTTTTTATAGCAATGAAGGAAATTATAATAAACACAAAAAATTGATTATTGTAGTAGAATACATAATAGCAGTTCAAAAACTAATGGAATATTATTAAGAAACATTATAAGATTAAATTTTATATTTATTTCTTTTAAAACATAAACTAATATAACTTTTAAAATATATCTTAATCATTGAAATACCTATTTGATTACTGTTTAAACAGGTATATCTAAAGATATAAATATACTATAATCTTTAATTTTAATTATAAATGAACATATGTACGTACATATCTAATAACGTTTATTTTTCTTCTTAAATGTCGATACATTTGTCAATTATTAATTTGTCATTATAAAAAGTAGTTTATATCAAAATAAAAATTTAAAAATAACAGGTTCAACATGACTACAAAAGAAAATTTAATTATTTTTTAAATCAATAAAAACAGTTGTAATTACTCAAGTTGTTTCATTCTAACATTTTATACAATATTCATTAAACATTGACACTTAGAATGAGCAAATTATTAACAAATATTCTGATGTCACACTGAACCTATTAATTATGGTTATACTTAACTTAATAATACAAAAATTGTAAAAAAATTAAAACTTAATGATTATGGAATATTTTTTTTAAACAACACAGATATTATGAGGTTGCTGATTGATGTTGTTTCGAACTGGCAAATCGGTTCTTGGTTTCCGAAATAATAGAATGTGTGGTTCTGTAAATAAAATGCCATGAAAATAAACTCATACAAATGGTATAAAAATTATTTGAATAATTTTAAAGAAAATATTACCTGGGCCGTGCATCATATAATGTACCCAGCCAGGACTTTGCTGAACTCCCAAGTTTCGCCATTCTGTTTCTGTCATAAGATGCGATTTTGGAACACGTCTCCCAACGTCCGATGGCAAAATGACATGTCTAAAGGTATCAATTAACATTGATATAATAATAAAAAAAAACACACAACAAGAATATGACAAATGTAGATAAATAAAAAAGCTAACCTATATTCATATTTGTCATCGCTGTACTTTTCAGAGTATTGTATTTGATCGGCTGGCATCTTTGTCGTCGTTAAATTAGTATTTATCACTAAAAGATTCAAATATCAAATAATCATCCACTTTTTTCAAATATGAATCACAAAGAGTACGTTATACATTCGTTCGGATTCGAAAGATTTAATTTAACAATGTTGAATTTCTAATACCTTAGAGATCACCACGAAGCGAATGATTTCTAAGTAATATGGCTGACAGTCAATTGACGGTAGTTGGCAGTATTAACGGTCGAAATTATGAGAGGCTAAAGATTATTCTAGAATTCGAATTCACGTATTATGACGGACATTGATCGTCAAAATCATTTCAAATGTGACAATAAAGAAAATTATCAATTTCTTGGTATAAAAAAATTTTCTAGGAAATAAAAATACTTCCCATAATAATTAATTAAATAATTACGCACGAACATTGTTTGATAAGCAATAATCTAAATATCAGGCAATCTTATTTTTTTACGAAATATATAATATATTAATCGCCGAACTCGTCAATTTTCAGTGGAATAAAATAATTTCGACGTCACTATGATAAAATGCAATGATTTTTTTACGCATATTTAAATCTTCAATTATAATCTTAAATTGCATGTCACATTATATTATGATTCCTAATTTTTTCAAATATCACATAAAAATAACGCTATTACAAAATAAGACACATGTCTAATAATTTCCATATTTAAATATTTGAGAACTCTGAATGTACATATAATGTAATATTTATTAAATATTTGAAAAATAAGAATACCAAAATGATAGTTGATTTTTAATCGTGAAAATTATATTAGCAATAATATAAGCAGAATGACATTTGCAGTGGATTTATTTTTAACTTTTATTATAAAACACACGTGATAATAGTTCATTGCAAAAAAAAGAAATCTTTGAAAAAGCTTTAAAAATAAAGAAGAAAGAAAAAACTTTTATGAGACTTTATTGAATAATTGTGCAAAGACTATAATATGAAGTTTTTAAAGCATAAAAATCAACTCTCATAAGAAAGTTTATTTAATGCATCATACAGCATCTTGTATGTTACATTTTTTACCTAATATTTTATTATATTTTTTTTAATATGAAGTTTTGCAAAATACAAATCCTATTATTTCATAGAAACTATTTACATATGCTGTAAAGTAACGGTATAATTGTTTCGAGATATCGACTAAACAATCTTTTTATAAGGATAGCACTATCATTATTCTCTCTTTTCCGTTTACAAAAAACCTGCTTATAAGTTACTTGAGGAGCGCTGAATAATTTTAATGATATTTAATGAAAATTGAGAGATACTTCTACTTACGATTTATTTAATTTTGTACGCATTAAATTAAAATGTAATTATATTAAAATTATAATGCATTTTTTATTAGATGAATTCAAATTTTATTAAATAGAAAAATTAAGAATTTTATAAAAATTTGTATATTTAATTTTAAAGATTGCTAATATTGTTTGACAATTTCCTTTCATCAAATATAAAAATTTTTATTTATTTTAAAAATTCCAAGTGAATGTTATAATAATCAAAGTGGAATATTTCATTTAACAATATTTTGATAAAACAAGGTTGTACTAATAAAGCTTATATCAGAATATTAGAATTAATTAAATAAACTGTGAATGATTTGATGACATATTTATAAATCGTTTCTATAATTATTATACTTAAAAAATAAAGAAAATTCGGTACAGAAATATAATTTAAAAAGTAAAGGATTAAAATTAATATTTTAATATAAAACCATAATCTATATTATGTTCTGTAATAATAAATAAAAATTAATTTAACAATAGATTTTATTTGTACTACACTTACTAACGAAAAGTGTGAGAAGTGTATAAGCAATTGGCAAAATTTCAATACCATCGGTAACTTTTATATACTATAATTAGCCGGTGAATGCCAGATGAACCTTCATTAAAATTATTTTACGTTTATGCAATTCAAAGCGTTATGAATGTGTAAAATGTATGACTGACAGATGAATTATGAATGTGTATTTTCATTATCATAATGTCGCGGCATATGATCCTATATAAATGATATAATTTAATAAAGCAGCACGTTTATTAATTAAATGGTTTTAATACTATTTGCTAAAATATAGGTATATATATTAAATAAAGCATTAGGATATGTTAAAACATTTATTAAAAATGAAAATTTCGTACTTGTAAGTAATTACAATAATATATTCATCATTTGCACAATTTGTTATTGATTTTTAAAAGGAGTTAATAATGTTTCGGATATTGATATAAAAATTAAAATCAATTCAATAATTTAAAAAAATTTGAATATATATAATATATAATTCTGTTTTTTACGTATATCTATAAAGATATATTATAAAAAAATGATTTTACCCAATAAGTTTAAAATAATATTTACAATAGCATTTATTCAATATTCCAGTCTAGACACTATTTAACTAATATGCAAATCTATTCCAAAGAACATACATTCTAATATATAACATTAACTTTTTAATAATTTTTTCTTTTTTACTTTGAAATATAAATATATGAAATAATTTTCTATTTAAAAATTAAATTAATTAATTTATATATTACTAATTAAATATTAAATCTAATTATAATTCTTGGGCGTAATAAAATTAGTCAAATAGTTTTTATATATAATAATTATACAATAACCAATTAATACACGAATCTAAAAATATTCAAAGTGCATAGAAAAAAAGCAAATATTTATTTATAAATATACATGATATAAAAAGTATGTTTAATTGATTCTAGATGTCAGCTTCAATTATCTGTAAATAGAATTTAATAATTTAAAATAATTAATATAATGAATTAATATAATAAATAATTCGTGATTTAAAATATTTAATAAATACAATTTGTATTTGATATTGATATATTTTAATTAATCTTGATCTATTTAATCTAAAACAAAAGAATTATGATAACAAATGATGTTTCCTTAAAAAAAAAGTTTATTTTCCATAGTGTAATATATATTTGAATATTGATTTAAAATTAAAAAAAAATATTTTTAGATTTTAAACAACAAATTGTGTTAAAAAATAACAAAAGGAATAAGAAATGTACAAACGAATAACTTTTAAAAAATAATTCCTAAATATATATAATATATTTTGAATTTTAAATAATTACTGTTTGAATAAAATTAATATAGGAATAATTATTTATTTTTTATGATTAAAAATATCATTTCTAAATTTAAAAGAATGTATACATTTTTAAGAACAAATTAATGCCGAATTTGAAATAAATTATATGTATCATAATTTGTATTTTATGTATTAATATCTGTATTTATTTAGTATATGTATTTAATTATACTTGTAATATATAAATATATACATATGTTTATAATAAAAAATTTATAAATGTTTTCTCAATAAAATTTTTAATATATTTTTTTAATAATCATTAGCTTTAATATATATTTAACTTATTTACTTAAAATATAATTGAAAATGACAATAAACTATATATAGTAATAATATAGTAATCAGAAAATGTAATAAACTTGAAATTAATTAAAAAAATTTATTTGCAGAAATTAAGATACTGTTTAAAATATTACAAGTGTTTAACATTAAAAAATATTCAATTATAAAACTAATCTAATCCTTGTAAGTCTCTTATACCAATTAAAATTACTTTGATATGCGCATTAGTTCTTGCAATTTCTTTTCTTAAATTAATTACCTGCCTTTCAAATAATTTTATTCTTATATCTATCACAACTAAAGCCTCATCTAGGGTGAACTCCACAAAGTAACCTAAACCAATGTCAAGTAATATATGTGATGCATTTTCAACTTCTGCTTGAATAAAAAAATTATTCCCCATATCAACTTTAGTTTTAAAGCCATTTGCTTTATTTCCAATATTTTTTATGGTATTAATAACACTTTTTAATTGTAAAAATTCTGCTATTTCAGAATTTATTTCATCCAATTTTTTTTCAAGGACTGCTAAATCTTGTTTTAAAACATCATTTATGAATGATTCAAATTGTAATACTTTCTTTTGAATATTTGATTCCATTTTCTAAGAATATCTGTAATTAAATTTAAGTTTGTTTATCATTTTATTTATTAGATAAAATTAAGTATTAATATAATTATACATTATTCTTAGATGTACCTACAATTAAAAATTGATTTTGAGGTTATATAACCTTTTATTATTATAGGTAAAGATAAACTTATTACTGTATGAAAAAACAATATAAATAAAATATTAATACTTACTTATAAATTGAATTAGATTTAGTGAATGTTACTAAAAATAATAAATTATGTTTAAAAATTTAATTTATGATGTAGTTGCACAACGAATTATAATATTGTAAGATTATTCATCAGTACATTTTTCTTAGGACACATCGTATATGCTGTTATATAAAAATATATCATTTAATTCTCTCTTAAAATGTTATTATTACAAACAGTATTCACGCCTCACTTCCAATATCATCGAATGAAGTGCTGATTAGTAAAAACTAAATACTCTTTCAAGCTAATTACAAATGCATTGTATATTCAAAAGTAAATTAAGCATACCTGGATTCTTGTGTTCACTTTAGTTTTTATAAATTCAAAATACTCGCATAATATATAAGACATTATAACAAGGTGTATATTATAAATTTATATACTAATATTCTGTTAATATTTAATAAGTATTAATATTCTTTTAATATATAATTTAATATTTAATTATGATGCTACGGTATACTGGGTATTTACGGATGACATTGTAAGCGAAATTATATTTTTATTAATTTTTAGAGACGTTCATGTTGATATTTTAAATGAATAAGTGCATGTATCTGTGAAAAAATGATTGCTTAAAAAGATTTAATTTAATTCCATTATGAATCATAGAATATCAGAACTGAATGAACAGATAAAAACCAAGGCCGTTTCCTTTGTTATATATAAATAGAATATAACAAAAGATTTCGCAAACATAAAGTTACTCTTTGACTTGACTTAACTACTTATTCGTTAATACTTGCACCACATTCTATGTTTGACAATGTAAGCCAGCGAAACGAAACGTCACTTGTTTTGAAAATTGTTTTTAGCTTAACTTTTTTAAATGATGTACAATATTACTTTCTAAATACATAAAAAATCTTCTGTTCTTAATTTTGTTATTTGTATTTTGTATTACTAAAAGTTTACCATAAGTTTTATATTGCATAAGATAGGTATAAATTCAAAAACACTTATTAAAATATTTGATAAAAGATATGGAAAAATATTTTTCTGCATGGATTAAAGTGAAATTAATTAATATGAATACTTGAATGCATCATCAATCTGTTCGTTATAAACATATGATTTACTTGTACACAATACTACACCTTATACAGATTTATAAAAACCTAATTATATTTTGCTATACAATTTATTTATATTAAGCAACAAGTAATTCAGAAAAAATTATGTAGCATATATATTGAATTAATCAAATATTTTCTTAAATCACAATTCGCTTAAGTATGCGAGATAAATAAATGATGTAAAGTTGGATACAATATTTTTATGAATAATTTGATGTTTGATTTAAGTATAAATAGTTCTTCAGGTTCTATTAATAAATATTAATAAAAATGCCATTCTTTCTCATGCATTATACAACTATTTTTTTATTTTAAATTATTTTAATATCTAAATTAAAAATATTACGAGAATTTTTAAAGGATAATTTATTAAAAGGAAAAATGTAGCGCTATTAAATTTTCATTTTTACATTTCCTGTTGCATGCGCACTTACACAAGTGTGCGGATGATAAATTTAGGAATTAAATTTTTAAATTACCATCCAAAAATCAATAAATTTTATTCTTTATTGCGCATGCGATAAAAGATTACACTATGGAATGCCCGTGGGATGTATTAAAGTTTTAGATGAATAATTATTTTGTTTTGTTTTGAATAGATTTTATTATAAGTTCATCTCTAACTACCGTCGACTATTTTCTCAAAAAACAATGAAGACATTTATCTTAAATAATTATGATTGCATTGGATTTGATTTAGATAGTACTATTTTGCAATACAACATTAAGAATTTAATTCAGTTAGAATATAAATTAATTATTGACTTTCTCATTAATAAAAGAGGTTATAACCCAAAATATTTTAATGAATCTTTAACGGACAAAGATTGGGATTTTATGCAAAATGGATTATTCTTTGATTTTGAGAAAGGTAATATTTTGAAACTTAGTTCCAAGGGAAAGGTGCATAGTGCAAGTCATGGAACTAAGTTTTTAAATGATGAAGAAATTGAACAGTATTATTCTAATCGATTATGGGATTTAAGTAAAATATTTATTGAAAATCCATTAGTAACAAGAAATGGACCATTATCATTAAAAATTAGAACATTATTGACTTGTTTTGATATGCCAATCAGTATAATTTTTGCCAAAGCAGTTGACTTATTAGATGAAGAAAATGGTAAACCCTTAGATAAATATAATATCTTGCCTGATCTATTGGATGCCATTCTTGACATGTATGAAAGGGAACAACTAAGGAATAATGCTGGAAATTTTTATTCAGAACTTAAAAGAAATCCAGAAAAATACATTAAAAAATGTAGTCCTGAAGTGTTAGCTTGGATTCAAGAGCTTAAGAAAACAAAGAAAATTTTTCTTGTCACTGGATCTAACTTTGATTTTGTTGAATTTACTACTAGTTATGCATTCTGTGAAAATTTACAATCACTTTTTGATATAATTGTATGTTATGCAAAGAAACCAGGATTTTTTACTGAAAATCGACCTTTTTATTCCTTAAAAAATAATTATGAGGATAAAATATTATCCAGTGAAGAACTTGAAGTAGGAGGAATTTATAATCAAGGAAATTTTAAAGATTTGCATAAATTTTTAGCACGAATTTCAAATATAAGCAATCCCAAATGTCTTTACATTGGTGACAATTTAATAGAAGATATATATTCTCCTAATGTTAGTGGAAGCTGTAATACATTAGCTATTATATCAGAACAATTATCAGAAGGGATGTTAGGTTATGATATTCCTCAAGATTATGAACAGGTTTGTAATTCAAAAGTATGGGGCTCTTTTTTTATTCTAAAAAATTCAAGTGGTCATGAGCATTCATATTGGAATCATATGATTAAAAAATACTCAAAAATTTGTATACCTGAATTGAAGATGATTATCAACATATCTCTAGATGAGCCTTTAAAATGTTTTTGTAATGAAGATGATGATAAAGAATTAAATGGTTATTATCCTGCAAAACCAATTTCTATATTTAATTTATAATGAAGCTATGAAGAGCTAAGAGTTAAAAAAAGGAAAAATTTTTTTTCAATTTTTTAATTTATTTTATTTTTATTTAAAAATATATATTCGTTTAAAAATTGTCAAAAAACATAATGTGTAATACTTTTTGTAATAACTTTTTTAAAATGTTTGTATTTGTGATATCTAAAAACAATAAGAGCAAATATTATTTTAAAATAATGTATGCATGTACATATGCATATATATATATATATAACAAATAATTTATACTTAAATTACTTAAACTATTTAAAAATATAATATATAAGGATTATAATAGTTTATACGTTATAAAAATAACTATTGTAGATAATTTAAAATTATTGTACCATTCCACCCTTATATTACCATTTCATATTACATTTTTATATTAATAAAATATTCAAGAAACAATTGAAACAATTACCTTTGTAATTATAATGTTCACAATAAATTTATATATATATTAAAATAGAAAATCATGAACCTTAAATATCAAAAAGAAAATAAAATATGAATAAAATAATATGTACTGATGATTAATTATTTGAAATACACAACTTTACTTTTATGTAAATCGCATTCGAAAACGTATAAAAATAATTATCATTTAATAGTCAGTTTATTTAATAGACTATATATATAATATTTAATAGGAAATAATTTGTATTAATACAATAATTTGTATGAATTTTATAAATAAATATAAATTTTGTAGTTAGTCCTGTAAAACAATATATTCTACATAATGAATTCAATAATTTAAATATAAGTCTTTGAATTAAGTACTTAATGAAACTGAAAGTGATAATTATATAGATTTTTTACAATATATAGTTAGAATATTTATATAAATCTGACAATATTTAAAAAAAATTGATAATAGTATAACACTTTTAAAATACAATCAAACATATTACCTTTATAAGATAATAAATTTGTTTGAATTTGTATAAATATATTTTGTAAAATATTCCTTTCAAAAACTTATGTACTAATTTTTTGTATAAACTTTAATTAAAAATATAACACTGTAATTTAACATGATATACTATAATCTCATATGATCTTATTACATTAGAATATTAATGTATAACTGTAATGATATTTTGTACATTAATATAAGTTTATAAAAATTTTATGTTATAGTTGATTTCTAATCTTAATCTGATTCAAGCATAACTTATTTGCACAAAATAATAGTAAATTAATGCTTATTCTTTGACATATTAATTACTGTGTATGTCAGAGTTTTTGAAAGTATTAATTAAAAATAAATCAAGATTGTAATAGGCACTTTTATAAAATTTTGATATATAGTTAATTTAATATAAATCAATGAGACAAACACATCAAATGACTACGATTGATTGTAGTTATCTAAAAAAGAACATTAATTTACCTAAAAGAGGTACGATATAAACTTTAACAGTATTGTATAAAATTGAGGTATGTGTTATAATCTTTCAATTGCAATTGCAATACCCATTCCACCACCTATGCATAAAGATGCAATGCCTTTCTTTCCATTTGTACGTTGAAGCAAATGCAATAAAGTTACCACAATCCTTGTACCTAAAATTAATTATGCAAGTTAATATATAACAGATAAATAAGTAAAATTCTTTACAAAATTTAATGTTTTTCATTGACCATAATTATTAAAAATAAATCATAAGAACTTAAAAACGTTTAATAATTTGATTGTAAAAAAATAAATAATTTAGGTTTTATATAACATACCTGAAGCTCCAATAGGATGGCCAAGAGCTATAGCTCCACCATTAACATTAACTTTTTTAGGATCTAATCCAAGTGTACGTAAACATGCCAAAGATTGAACTGCAAAGGCTTCATTCAATTCAAATAAATCTACTTCTTCTTTTTTCCACGAAGCTTTCTTTAACTATATTTTAAAAAATATCCGAGAATTAATTTAAATACAAAATCAGTTATTAAGAAAATTGATGGAATACTTAATTTATAATAAAAATGAAATTATTATTATATTTAAAATGAATTATAATGCTGCTACTTTTATATTTTAAGCATACCAAATAATTAATGATTATTTAATAGTATTTCACTCTGTAACTTATATGAAAATTTTGAAATCTTTTTAGTTAAAAATTGTTGCATATGCTTAAATCAAATGTCTTGAATCACCCACCACTAATTCAACAGCAGGAATGGGTCCTGTACCCATAATATTTGGATCGACTCCTGACTCAGCTATAGCAATAATACGTGCGATTCCTTGTATTCCTTTCTTAATGGCTGCATCCCTTGACATCAGAACAACAGCAGCAGCTCCATCATTTATTCCTGAAGCATTCCCAGCAGTTACCGTACCTTCAGTCTGTAAAAATGATTTTTTTTACGTTCTTTTATATTTAAATAGATAAAATTAAGTACACTTTTATGTTAAGATCAATTATACTTGAATCATAAATTTTGTTTCTAATTTTAAATTATATTAAAAAATTTTAATTGTTAATAAGTGAAATTTGTATTTGTTATAAATACCTTATATAGCAATAAATCAACTATAAATTATTTATATAAAATTTATATATAATACACCCAATGTATTAAAACTATGAATACTAAAATAATGAATAAAAGAAATTATGTACCACCCTCCAAGGAAAAAATTTCCTTTTAATAATATTAACATACAATGGATAAATTCATTGTCATTTCGTTTTTTAAATGATGACTAATTAATAAAAATAAATATATTTTAATTTACAAGTGCTACTGTAAATATAACAAATTACTTTAATAAATGCAGGTCTTAATTTTCCAAGAGCTTCAATAGTTGTACCAGCTTTTGGAAATTCATCTTTTTCTACAATTTTTATATCTTTTCGGACAGTGAAAGATACTGGTACTATTTCTTTCTCAAAATGACCATTTGCTATTGCTGTTTCTGCTTTCTGCTGCGACTCTGCAGCATATTTATCCTGTTCTTCTCTTTTAATATCATATTCCTTAGCAATATTTTCAGCTAAAATACAAATTTTTGTTATATACTTATGTATAGTTGATATATAGATAGGATATGTCATGTATGATGTAATATAAGCATTTACGATTAAATAGCAATGATTTGTACATATATAAATGTGAATTTAGTTTTAGAAATTAAATAATCAATGCAAATACCTGTAACACCCATATGAATACTACTAAATGCATCTGTAAGGCCATCAAAAATCATGGTATCAATCATGCTACCATCACCCATTTTCACTCCATTTCTAAGATATATTGCATGAGGAGCTTGACTCATGCTTTCCTGACCACCAGCTACAACAACCTCACTTTCTCCTGACTTAATAGATAAATATCCATTTGTAATTGATCTATAAATATAAAATAATAGAAAATGTTAACTCTTCATTTTAATTTATTTTAAAAAATTTTTTAATTTATAAATATTTTTTAATACTTAAATGAAATTACGCATTTATTAATGGCATTTACTTTATTTGCTATCATAATTAATATTCCTAATATAATAGAAGTGCTTGGAAATAAAATAAAAAATCTAAATGCAATGTAAAATAAAAAAAAACAAAAATACTAAAATTTTATTTAAAATTATTTAATGAACTTGACAATTCATCATTAAAATCGCACTCATATATTGTTACTGTTAAATATTGTATTAAAAATAAGCAAAATTACTAAAAATTTACTATTTTTGTATAATTGTCTTATTATGAATTACATTAGAATAAAAATATTTAAATTAAATTAAAATATTTAATTTTCACGATATATATTTTTTGTCACTAATTAAACATGAGGATTTTACCATTTTTTTTATGAATGCCATTATATTTAATTATTGATCATCATTCTCCATTATTAATTTTCAAAAATATAATCCCAATAAATGGAAAATTAAAAATAGTATACATATTATTTATTTAGTAAATTAACATTTTTAGTAAAATTAACATTGTATAACATAAGTAAAATTTAAAGAAAATTTTGTTAAAAAATTTTAGCGTTTACTACTGTCTAAAATTAAAGCAATTTAGTTAAAGTTGCTAAATGTCACTTGTTACATATCAAATTATACAAATAAAATGCTTAATGCAGATTTAAAAACAGTCTGATTTTAAATAAAATTTAAATAAGTATTTATTGTATTTAAAAAAGATATATTTTAATATATTCAAACATATTTAAAAAAAAAATTCTTTTCATTCTAGCAAGCAATATTTTACTTATAAGTTTTAAAAAATTAATAGCATGTTAATTTCTTTCCAATTATCATGTTTCTCATATTTTCATAATTAAGTTAGTATTTGAACTTTGACACAATTCCTTTTTTACAATACGTACATAAGTCATAAATTGAATAAAACATTTATTTTAATATATGAAAATACAGTTTCTTACTTAAGTCCAGATCCGCATAACATATTAACTAAATAAGCAGGTACACTTGTAGGAAGACCTGCCTTTATGGCAGCTTGCCTTGCTGGATTCTGTCCTTGTGCTGCAGTCAGGGCCTAATATTAGAAAAAGGTAGATAATTAGTTTTGCAAACATTATCCGTGTAATGAAATACTCACTTGTCCTAATATTACTTCTGACACATCGGTTGGTTTTAGATTAGCTCTACTTAAACTCTCTTTAATAACAATACTTCCTAAATCAGAAGCTTTCAGTGATGATAATAGACCACAAAAGGAACCTAAAAGTAAACGGAATTGAATGATGAGGCATTTTAAATATACTCTGAAATTATGTTCAGCTTATAGTATGTTTTAGAATAAATTATCATTTTAGTTTTTTTGCATTATCAACTCTGTATATTAAATACCTATAAAAATTTCAGAATTAGTTTATTATTAGATCTTTAATAATTTATAATAATTTATGCATATATTGCATAAGAGAATTTTCAAAGCATAAATATATAAAAATTAATTCTTTCCTAATCTTAATTAAATTCTTAATCTAATATAATCAAGTAGAAATCATTTATAGAATTTGTTTTAACTTGCATTTTTTATTTTATAATTACAATAGTGGAAAACTATACATACATTGTATTTTGAATAAAATGCAAACATAGAGTGAAATTCATTTTAAAAAGTAAAACTATAGATTCTAGAAACTAGAAATTCCGAAAGAAAATGCAGTAAAATTTCTGCTTTTCATGGAATTGTCACCTGTATAGTCGATCAAGAAAGAGAATAACAAGTGCTATGACAAGTGGCGCGTTACAGAAAACCCGCGCTAAGGGAGTACTCAAATCAAATGGTTGTAACATACCTATGGGGGTCCTCACAGCTGATACAATAAGCACGTCTCTAGGCTCGCACATCTTGCTCTACGGATCCTTCTTACGACTC